CTGCAGCCACTTAATGCCACCAGGACAGTCCAGAGGCAGCTGGAGTAGAAAGATGTGCCATGTGTTCAGTGACCCTGCTTGTGAAAATACTGGGTTATGGGACATAACCAAGCCACGTCCCTTGTCATGCCTTTGGCCTAACAAGATGATGGGCTCTGAGACCCCTTGGAATGATGACTTGGAAAGGGGCCGCACGGCTCGTGCGTGTGCCGCACCCGAGGGCTGTGAAGGAAGCCGGGTGCAATGCGCTTTGGAAAGGACTCTGAAGAGGCTTCAGCCGCGAATGCAGTTTGAGCGCCTGTTCCCAGCGTCCTACCTGAGACAGGGTTTCTCAACAGGCTTTGGCATATGACAGGAGCATGGGTCAGAGATCCTCGGGAGGGTCCCGAGCTTGACGCACAGCTTCCTGAGCTCAGCGGCCTTGGTTCCTGGTGCTCTTGGCCCGTGGGGAACTGCGTCTGCCCCACAGTTCCTGGGTCCTCGCCTTTCCCCCGCCGCACCCACACCCACCCCGCGCTCCAAAGGGGCCCGATGAAACCCTGGGTGCGGGGATCAGAGCAGTGAAGCGGCACTCTGCCTTTGTATCAGGTGTCCGAGATAACATTTCCTCCGGGCATCGAGGTGAGGGAGGGCAAGGCAGTGGCCTTGGGAACACAGATCTCCTCAGCTGCCTGGCCTCTGGTGCCCCCTGGACCATTCGGGCAACCAGGTCACAGAACCTGGGCCGCTTTCAGGGCATGCTCTGCCTGCAGCCACTCGGTCCTGTGGCTGAGGAGCTGGCTGGAGCACAGCAGCGGCTCAGCCCTGGGGCTGCACGGCGACAGCCCCTCCCCCGTGGCCGAGGACAAGGCGCACAGCAGCCGGGCGCTGCCCTGGCCTACCTGTCGGGCCTGGCTGTTTGTAGCTTATTTCTCCAGCCTCCGAGTTCCTTTTAGAAATAATGTCCTACATTCTTCCCTCCGATCCCTTTTCCAAGCCTCGATCTGTAAGCTCCCCTTAGGGTAACAATCCTCCTCACCCCACAGTACGCTGCAGGAATACTTGTGCTTTGGTGAGAAAGAAAAGGGTTGCTTAAAAATATGTAGGTTAGGCGAGCGTTTCTCGTTGCCGTGCATAAATCAGAATCCAGTACCTTTTTGGCATGAACCATTTCAGTCCCATGAAACAGTAAGACACAAGCTGTTTCGATCATATTTTGATCGTATTTTTAATCAGATATATTCTTTCTGATTCATAATGATGTTTAGCCCTCCCCCCCCCCCAAAATTCTAATCCAATGGGAGAATTTGATTTATTGTGTCATTGCCAGGAACAGTAGGTATTAACTATTAAATAATTTTACCATTATTGTTAGTCCTCTGCTATTATCAGTAAATATCTAAATGCTCTAACATCCACCCCTAGCTCAGAACACGAAGGGTCTCTGCCCTTGTGACGTGTATAAAAAGGGATCGGCTAGGAAGGAAACAATTATTTCTGATAAGCCTCAGTTACACTCCATAATTAAAGGGGTTAGTTGCAGTAGAGATGGGAGGGGTCCCTAAATGAGGTGCAGGGTTTATGCGCAACCATCCTTCTTAGTCCAGGTTGCTGGACGCAATGACACTGAGCAGAGCATCAAAACAGAGGACCCCTCTTCCAAACTTCGCACAGAGATGTGTCTCCTGGCAGTACTCACTCATTCACACGTCCACTCCACAGGCACCTGCCACGAACCTGGCACTGGTAGCCCCTGACAACCCCGTAGTGGAAATGGTCCCTGTGCTCTGGAGTTGCCCACAGTCTAACAGGCGAGATGGTTACATCACCGTGAACATAAACCGGTGTGATGACAGCCCCGCGGGGTGTCACAGGAGCACTGAGGACCGAGGCTTCGCTTTCCCCAGGGCAGGGGTAGGAGAAGCAGAAGGCGCACGACAGCCCTCCTGGAGGAGGTGTTGCCCGCACTAGATTTAAAGGCTAGATTTGGAACCAGGCTAGTGTTTGAGTCCTGGTTTTGCCATCTGTTGGCTGCATGACTTTGGGTAAATTACATAACCTCATTGAATCTCAATTTTGTCTCAAAGAATCGCTTAGAGATTAAATGAGATAATACATACGAAGTGCTAATCACAGTGCCTGAAATATGGAATGTTCTCCAAAACTGATAGCCGCCACCACCACCATCACGCGCCAGACCTCCTTCGCAGTGAGACGTTTTCGTGAGAAGGATTCATCATTGAGTGGTGGATAGCCACCACGAAGGAGGGAACTTTGGCAGAAGCTCTGATTAGTTCATCTGTGGTCCAAACGCACAAAACAGTTCATCCGAAAAGCAAAACGAGCCCCAAAGTCATTAAGTTCTTGTAGCAAAGAAGCCACAGAACCTGGTGGGAAATTTGCAGAACTCTTCCAGAAGAGTAGTTTATTGTTACATTGAAATGGATTAATGGCTAAATAAACATATTTCAGTTCCGATCTCTAATGTAGTAATACCAATAGTTATAACCCATGTAAACAATATCTCTCTAGGGGTCCCCACAACTCTTCAGAGTCTCAAGGGAGTGTGAGACCAGGACGCCCGGGAAGCTCTGTGGCCGACGGGAGCGCTGGGAGCAGCAGGGCCCAGGCTGGTCGGAGTGTGTGGGGTACGCCTTCGAGCTGGGCGTGGCTGGACAGGGTAGCATCTGCCCTTGTCTCTCCAGGTCAGGGGACCTCAGTCTCAGCTGCACCTTGGAATCACTTGGGTGGTTAACAAATAGACGCCTGGCCCCACCCCTAGAGCTAATGATTTCTTGGCCTGGGATGCATCTACGGATCATGATCCTTAAATCCCCAAGTCATTCCGAGGCGAAGCCGAGGCCGAGAACCACTTGTTCAAGAGAGGAGAGGTAAGCCAGCTGAGTAACGGCAGGACACAGCAAGCCACCTCCTTTGTTTCACAGACAGTGGCTGCTAAAAATCTCAGGGGAAACTACAAGTCCTTGTTATCCAAGTTAAAATACTGTTTTTCCATTAAAAGGTTAACAACAAAACAAGACCCCAAAAAGTCAATAGCCATTTAAGTAGAATTGCTGTTTAGATATTTTTGAGTAGTCGGACACATTTTGTTGACGCGAGGTCGACTTTTGGCCGAACTTGGTCGGTTCTCCAGCATCAGAAGGGCCTCGAGTCCCCCCCTTCTGTGGCAGCACCCACTGTGGGCGACTCAGCGGTCCTTCCACAGAGGTGCTGTCCTCCAGCGTGTCCCCTTGCTGGACACTTGTGCCTTTTCACATATCCACTGAGACATTCGGTCCGGAAGTGTGGAACCATCCCAGGGACGTTTCCTAAGCGTGGATGTTTTTGACGGGACCAAATGTCAAGGACAATTTGACATGGACCCACTATGCTCATGGAGGTTTTTGATTGGACATAATTTCAAGGGCCTTTTGGTGTGAACCAGATGTCCACTGATTGCCAGTCCCCATGGGCGCTGTCTATGTGAGCGTCCCCCACAGAAGGCGGGCTCCCCGTCCAGTTTCTACCCCCCTCTCCTGACTGACCTACCCCAAACCCCCACTGAAGCACCTGAGTGTGCAGAGAAATCCATGTTTCTCTCATGTTGGAACAGTCAAAACACAATGTGGCCGGCCAGTCTCTTCCTGAAAGTACTCTTAAAATGAGGAAATTATGATGCATTTCCAAGCCTCACAGAAATTATTTTTATGCTTACAACTCTGTCCTATCCAGAGTATAAGCAATTCGATGTATTTGAGTGGTCAGCATCTGTCTTTATATATCATCCCTGTTTTCGACATCAGGACGAGTTGACAGTCACCACTAATGATGTCGATCTTCATATTAAATTTTATGGTGGATTATAAATTAAGAATGTTGCTGGTGAAAAGAAATATCAGCAGTTTTGTTTTTTTGTGTTATTTTTTTAGTCCTCACCCAAGGACATTTTGCAATATTTTGTTCAGATAGAGTGGGAGGGAGAGAGAGAGAGAGAGAGAGAAACATCGATGTGAAAGGGACACATTGAGTGGCTGCCACCCACACAACCTACCAGGGCCGGGGACAAACTGCAACCGAGGTACGTGCCCCCAGTGGGAACCGAACCCGGGTCTCTCCAGACCGCAGGCCGACGCTCTAACCACTGAGCCAAATCGGCCAGGGCAACAGTTTTAAATCTGAAGGAACGAGTCTGAGTTCTGAAGTCATACCATCCAGAGGGAATGTTGGAAAGAGGTCCGGTCATCGGGATCTCTAGAAGGTCCACAGGAAGGGGCAGGAGTCGTCCGACTCACTTGACTTCTGAATGGTGTTCTTTACCAGATTCCTGTGCCCAGCGAGCGTGCCCACTCTCCTGTGCTCGCCTCCCAGGGCACCCGAGTCAGGCGCTGCTGTAACCCGCCCTCCACCAGGCTAGTGTTAGCCTTAACAATCGACGTCTGCTTACACACAGGCTACAAGTGTGCTTTTTCTGCACTTAAGTTGTGTCCTAGAATGTGTTTTCAAATCATGGGGATGCTGGCCACCTCCCGGAGGCCAGGGAATGAAGTGGAAAGTTGCTCGGTTTGTCCTGAAAATGGTCCCCATCTACTCCAAAGGTCACCCCAGGAAGTGAGCAGAGTCACTCCCTCCGCTCATGTTGTTCCTAGGTCTAGGCCCTCACGGGGGAGCTTGGTAAGCTCACTCTGTAGACGTCATCGTGCCGTGTCTAACAGGTGTGTCGCAGCTGCACTAGCCACGCCCCCTGCCCCCAGCACTCACACCGTGCAGACAGCTTCTGGACTGAGCACGGAGCTTAGCATGTGCTCTGGGTGTTGATTAGGAGATGAACTAACGCAGAGGACAGAAAGTAAGGTCTGGCTGTCATGACTGTGTTTCTCTATGGACAATAAAACTCAGAAGCTCATGGGAAGAGGGGTGTGTGTACGTCTCGAACTCATGTCTGTGTGTGGGAGGGGGCGGTGGTTGGTTGGTTGGGTCTGCCCTTTCACTTCTGATGCCATCTTCTCGAAAACCTCCCACAGGCTCTGTCCACGCCACCTCAGTGGCGGCCTCACGGGTGGAGCAGGCGCTGTCAGAAGTGGCCTCGTCTCTGCAGAGCAGCACCCCCAAGCAGGGCCCGCTACACCCCTGGATGACACTGGCACAGATCTGGCTCCACGCAGGTACTGCTCTGCCCCCTGTGGGCCCCGCCCCCAGCCTGCCGCGTGCCAGCGGCCGCAGGGTCCAGGGCACTGGCCTCTCTAGCCCACAGCCTTCATCAGGAGAAATGAAAGTGTTTGCAGTCACACCAGAATGTTACTACAGAGGTCCCCCTTATCCGCGGACAACGTTCTAGGACCCCCAGGGTACCTAGAACTTTGGCTAGTACCAAACCCTCTATGTATTATGCTTTTCCTTTTCATACATAGCTATGCTAATGTTTAATTTATAAATTAGGCACAGTAAGAGATTAACAACAATAACTAGTAATGAAATGGAAGCACCTGACGGCCTCTCTCTGGCACGCTTTGGGCATTATTAAGGAAAATAAGGGTGACTTGAACACAAGCAAGTCCATTCGATAACGAGATGGCTGCTGCGTGACCGACGGGCAGATCATTTACACAGCGTGGGGATGCTGGACAAAGAGGATTCTCGTCCCAGGCAGGACGGGGCAGGATGGTGCGAGATTTCATCACAGTTCTCAGGATGGCATGCAGTTTATTAAGACTTACGAATTCTTTATTTCTGGAATTTTCCACTTGATGTTTTTGGACCGCGGTTGACCATGGGTAACTGAAACCACAGAAAGTAAAACCGCAGATGAGGGAGGACAACTGTACTTCTTTGCAAGAACCCCGAGTTACTCCGTCTCCCCCTCCCTCCCCTGCCTCAATACCCTGACCCAGAGCCTGGCACAGAGCAGTTCTGGGCTGGACTCCGAGCATCGCGGGTAGCTTGCTGGTGTGCTGGGCTGGGCTGCAGACTTGGAGGGGAGTCCTAGCTCTGCTACTCAGCAGCTGTGTAGACTTAAGTTAATAACTTCCTCTCAGCCTCAGTCTTCTCATCTGTATAATGGGGTTAAAAGTGCCTGTTTCCTGGGGTCGATGAGCACAGTGCCTGGCGCATCCTGGCAGTGAGATCTGGGAGTCCCCGGGAGAGGGGACAGGCATATTGACGACGCAGGTGTCTTTCTGGAAGCCAGGGGAGGGGCAGCGTGTTCAGTGCCCCTGCCCCCCTCTAATGGCAGTCCTGGTAATCCACGGGGTGGGGGGGCAGATGCTGCACCTGCCGAACTGGAAAGCAGCGCAGGAAGCAGGTACGATGCCCCTCCTCAGCTTCACGGGGCTGCTTTTGTGGAGTTAGAAATCCCCCAAATAAATGCAGGCCTTTTAGCAACAAGAATCCCACTCGACAGAGACTCCGAGCAAATGGTGGCTGTCGATGTATTTGCATGTTTATATTTCTATATAAAAGGTAACGTCTGTTCCTCACTTGATCTGCAAGACCCTACCAGGCATTCCCAGGCTTGACCCTCAGGATACATGGTAAAAGGCCCAAATTTGGCTGAGAACGTGCTTATTGTCCACCATCGTCCACCTGTTTACTCCTTTTGTGCCAAGGCTAATTGTATGATGTTCAGCCTTGTTTGGCACCATCAGCGGGTCTTCGTATATGAAAACACAGTCGGATTTACCTGGCTCTGGCCTGTCACAGAGCCGAGCTCAGCCAGCCTCTTCTGCGTTGGCATCTTTAATTGAGCCATAACAACAATGGTAAATTAACAAATTATATTCTTCTAAGCAGAAGTACAAGCAAGGGATGATTCATGAACGTGGTGATTATTCTTGCTGCACGGATGCTTGCCAGCCTTGGGCCTCTCCCAGGGTCCTCGGAGAGCCGGCTGTGAGGGCAGGGAGCAGCCCAGTGCCCCCACACCCCCCGCTCCCCGCCAGAAAAGCCCAGTCCCTGGTCTAGGCGCCTGTCCTGTCCAGTAACCCTTGGGAGCAGTGACCGCAGAAAAGAGAAACAGAAGGAGTGCAGGTTAGTGTCGGGCCAGGAGAGACCAGCTGAACCTGCAGGGCCAGTGTGGGTGCAGGGTTCTTTCAAATTGGCCATGAAGTCTGGTTTGGAAAGGCCACCGTCTAAAAAACCCCGAATTGCTGCAGGTGATCCCGCGAGGCTGGCATGAGTTCCGTTGACCTCACAGGCATCGCTTCTCTTGCTTATTTCTTGGAAAAGTGAACGGCCTGAGTGAGAGTCACCGAGTTCCAGGACAGCTCGGCCCAGTGGTGGGCTGCCGCTCACTCGGTTACCCAGGCTTTGTTCTTCTTTGCGTGGCTGCCCGTGACTCCTGGGAAGAAATTCTGTAGCTGCTTATTAGAACATTGAAGAGCAGTTTGGAGCTATCCTTGAATTTCACAGCATCCCGTGACATCCATTTCTCATTGCCGTAGCCCGTAGGACAGCTCTCACTGCTAGTCAACGATGCGGCGTGTGACATTCTGCATATTGGTGAAATTGAACTTGCGGAAATCAGATGCTGTGTCTGCCTTCCCCTGGGCAGAATATGTGTGGTGCTTACGTGCATAGTGTGAACATGTAACACGAATGAATGAAGTAAATTAGAACCTTTATAGGATTTGCGCCATATTGACTCAAAGCAATGACTTTGTTAGAGTCAAGATTTAGAAATGTATCATATATTCACATAGTCTTTGAAGAGGTCAACTCAAAAAGAATTTACACCCTGGCCTGTTTGGTTCAGTGGTTAGAGCATCGGCCTGTGGTCCAGAGACCCGGGTTCGGTTCCCGCTAAGGGCACGTACCTCGGTGGCAGTTTGTCCCCGGCCCTGGTTGGGTCGTGCAGGTGGCAACCACTCGATGTGTCCCTTTCATGTCAATGTTTCTCTCTCTCTCTCTCTCTCTCCCTCCCACTCTATCTGAACAAAAAAATGAAAAAAATGTCCTCGGGTGAGGATAAAAAAAAAAAGAATTCACAAAACAGACAGCCTTCCCTGAACTGTGAGGTTTCAGAAAATGTGGTTGAGCTCTGCTGCTCTGAGAGACAAAACACAAGTGACCCTGTTTCTTGACAGCTGATAGAAACCGGGGAACATCTGTGTCCCCCATCAGCTCTAGAAATGCCACCCGATTCTGGAAACTCCGTCGGCCTTGGAAACAGCTGGTTAGATGCAGGTCTGACACCCGAGGCCATGGCGTTTCTGTGGCGCGTGGGTCTCTTCTCTCGCGGCAGTTTCTCCGGCGGGCTTAGTGGGAACACGTGACAGGAGCCGTGCAGAGCTAGCTCCAGGCTGGAGACTTACAGGGAAGGTCGCTCTGAGACGGTCTCAGGTTTCCACCCTATTGTATGCGAGGGTCCCTGGGCCACGTGTATGTCCATTTGAATGGCAAAGAGATCATGGCTGGGACACCTGAGCCTTCCTCTGCTCTGCGAGGGAACGGGGCAGAGGCCAGCGCAGAGCACAGACCCAGGCAGACCAGAGATGCTCGGCCCAGGGTCCCTCCCTTCCGATGAGGTGGGGCCCGTGCCCTGGCTGCCCTCTTCCCTCAGCACACCTGGCGGCCCACCTGCATGGGTTGTGCATATTTTTTCCCTGGTTTGTTTGGACCTATGGGACAATTTTATTTAAATTATTTTTGAATAAATAATACATACACGTGGTACACAATTGAAAAGGTACAAAAGATGTAGTGTGAAAAGGCCCCTCCCATCTCTGAGCCTGTCACCCTCACCTACGGGCCCCCACTGTCAGCAGTCTGCACCTTCCAGAGCGGCCACACTCAGGGGTCACTGCTCACAGCACACGAGGCTGACTGGCCTTCCAGCAGCTGCCGGGATAAACCCGCTGTGTGACTTCACCCGCGTAACCAGGACTTCTGTTGACACTGAGAGTGTGTCTGGTATTTCTCTGTGATGGACAATGCACCTATAAGTATCACTATATATATATATATATATATATATATATATATATATATATATATATTTATATCCTGTATCTGTAAGGTAAACTCCTAAAAGTGCAAATGGTGGATCGAGGTGTGTGCTCTAATTCCTATAAAGTGTGTCAGATCGCTTTCCATTCCGGTCACTGACGTGTGGACGCCCCTCCCCCACACCCGTGCCAACACCACGGACCACCCGGCCTCTCCCTCTCGGCCACTCTGAGAGATGGAAACGGCCTTGCAGTCGTCTGCTCGTGGCGTCTGCCATTCGTCTTCGAGGCTGAGCTTTTCTTTTTGATTCGTAAGCACTTAGGACGTGTCAAAGAAATTTGCCTGGCGTCTGTGATATGTGCTGGAAACATTTCTCCCCGTTTTTATTTTGTTTGTGCTTTTGTCTTTTTCTTTGTCAGTTTTTTTTTTTAAAAATGTGCTTATCCATCTTTTCTCTATGACATCTGGGCTTCATATGATATTTAGAAAGCAACTACCCATTTTTAGGGTGTCTTCCTGAAAGTTCCAGGTATCGCCGGTGCCCTGTGTACACCCGTCATCTTATGAAGGTCAGGGGGCCCTCTCCTCGTGCTGCAGGAGGGTGAGCCGGGCTAGGCGGGCGGGCGCCTCTGGCCTTCCTGGCAGGGGCGGGCGGCGGAGCGAGCACAGCTGGGTGCCGGTTATGCCACAGTGCACAGCTCCATGCACCGTCCTCTTCCCAACGCAAACCGTTTTGTTGACCGTTGGAAGTCCTGCGCTCGCGGTGACTCAGAGCTGACCCGGAGCCTTCCCAAGCCCAGCAGCTCCTCGGTGCCCACCTCTCCATTTCCACACTGAGACGGCAGCTAAAAATGACTTGGCAGTAGGTGGTTAATTTCTGCTTGTTACTTACTAATAATTATAGCTTTCACTTTTGGCACCTCTCGCAGTCGAAACCAACGGCTATTCTTAGATGTGCAAGATCAGATTTTCTGGTTTCTGCTGGGAATTTAAAGCCGTGATACTCTCACAGATTCCTTGGGCCTGGCCTGGCCCTTCCGCCCTTCCCCCTACCAGGCTCCTCCCAGCCACCAGGAGGCCTCATCCGCAGGGTGGAGGGATAATCCTGGGGCCTGGCCCCCTGGCGAGATGAAGACAGCTCCCAGACAGGTGTGTGTGGTCACTGCAGGGAGGGTCTGTGGGAGGGACGCTGGGTCCCCAGGGCCGCGCCTGCCTGATGCGG